GATCATAGTGAGAGGAGGGAGGGAGTCATGAAGGTGATCATAGTGAGAGGAGGGAGGGCATCATGAAGGTAATCATAGTGAGAAGAGGGAGGGCATCATGAAGGTGATCATAGTGAGAGGAGGGAGGGCATCATGAAGGTGATCATAGTGAGAGGTGGGAGGGCATCATGAAGGTGATCATAGTGAAAGGTGGGAGGGCATCATGAAGGTGATCATAGTGAAAGGTGGGAGGGCATCATGATGGTGATCATAGTGAGAGAAGGGAGGGCATCACGAAGGTGATCATAGTGAGAGGAGGGAGGGCATCATGAAGGTGATCATAGTGAGAGGAGGAAGGGTATAATGAAGGTGATCATAGTGAGAGGTGGGAGGGCATCATGAAGGTGATCATAGTGAGAGTTGGGAGGGCATCATGAAGGTGATCATAGTGAGAGGTGGGAGGGGGTCATGAAGGTGATCATAGTGAGAGGTGGGAGGGGGTCATGAAGGTGATCATAGTGAGAGGTGGGAGGGGGTCATGAAGGTGATCATAGTGAGAGGTGAGAGGGCATCATGAAGGTGATCATAGTGAGAGGTGGGAGGGGGTCATGAAGGTGATCATAGTGAGAGGTGGGAGGGGGTCATGAAGGTGATCATAGTGAGAGGTGGGAGGGCATCATGAAGGTGATCATAGTGAGAGGAGGGAGGGCATCATGAAGGTGATCATAGTGAGAGTTGGGAGGGCATCATGAAGGTGATCATAGTGAGAGGTGGGAGGGGGGTCATGAAGGTGATCATAGTGAGAGGTGGGAGGGCATCATGAAGGTGATCATAGTGAGAGGTGGGAGAGCATCATGAAGGTGATCATAGTGAGAGGTGGGAGGGGGTCATGAAGGTGATCATAGTGAAAGGTGGGAGGGCATCATGAAGGTGATCATAGTTAGGGGTGGGAGCGCATCATGAAGGTGATCATAGTGAGGGGTCGGAGGGGGTCACGAAAGTGATCATAGTGAGAGGAGGGAGGGTATCATGAAAGTGATCATAGTGAGAGGAGGGAGGGTATCATGAAAGTGATCATAGTGAGAGGAGGGAGGGCATCATGAAGGTGATCATAGTGAGAGGTGGGAGGGGGTCATGAAGGTGATCATAGTGAGAGGTGTTAGCTCATCATGAAGGTGATCATGGTGAGAGGAGGAAGGGCATCATGAAGGTGATCATAGTGAGAGGTGGGAGGGCATCATGATGGTGATCATAGTGAGAGAGGAAGGGCATCATGAAGGTGATCATAGTGAGTGGTGGGAGGGGGTCATGAAGGTGATCATAGTGAGAGGAGGAAGGGCATCATGAAGATGATCATAGTGAGAGGTGGGAGGGGGTCATGAAGGTGATGATAGTGAGAGGTGTTAGGACATGAAGGTGATCATGGTGAGACGAGGGAGGGCATCATAAAGGTGAACATAGTGAGAGGAGGGAGGGCATCATGAATGTGATCATAGTGAGAGTTGAGAGGGCATCAAGAAGGTGATCATAGCGAAAGGAGGGAAGGGGTCATGAAGGTGATCATAGCGAGAGGAGGGAGTGGGTCATGAAGGTGATCATAGTGAGAGGAGGGAGGGCATCATGAAGGTGATCATAGTGAGAGGAGGGAGGGGGTCATGAAGGTGAACATAGTGAGAGGAGGGAGGGCATCACGAAGGTGAACATAGTGAGAGGAGGGAGGGCATCATGAAGGTGAACATAGTGAGAGGAGGGAGGGCATCATGAAGGTGATGATAGTGAGAGGAGGGAGGGGGTCATGAAGGTGATAATAGTGAAAGGAGGGAGGGGGCCATGAAGGTGACCATAGTGATAGGTGGGAAGGCATCATGATGGTGATCATAGTGAGAGGAGGGAGGGCATCATGAAGGTGATCATAGTGATAGGTGGAAGGGCATCATGAAGGTGATCATAGTAAGAGGTGGGAGTGGGTCATGAAGGCTGATGTCAGATGATGATGTTCTTGATCTAGGAGCTGGATCAAGAACATGGTTCAAGTATTAAAGGATGAGGAGAGGTCTTGATTCGAGGAACTGTAGCATGGGTAATAGTGGGGTAAGGCTGTATGTGGCAGTAGGGGGAGTGAGTTGAAGTGGGATTTTGTTCCGATGTCTCAGAGTTAAGAGGAGGTTTGGGAATGAAGGATTGTGATTCTAGGTGGCGGAGTTAGGTTGGTCTTGCTTCAGGAGATAAAGGATGAGGAGATGCTATGGATGCTATGGTGGGATTAAGTGGTCTTGCTCAGAGGAATTGCCGTCATAATTTTATTTAGTGTGCTGTCTGTGTCATCTTTGTAGGATTGGGTGGTCCTGTAGGTTAAGGCGTCGTCTGGTTGTAGCTCACCATGAGGCCGGCCAGTACAACGTGTGTTCGAGTCCTTGGCCAGTGCAGTGTTGTTGTTGATCAATACCACTTCTTGATAAGAAAAGTGTTCTTATCTCCCTCTTTCTCCGTGCTCTCCGCATTTATGATCCTCTGTTCCTTGAATCAGAAATATCCACTCTTCATAATTCATTTTCCCGTCTTGGCTACCCTTCCCATTTCATAGACTCTGCCTTCTCACGTGCTAAACGAACTTTCTTCTCTTCAAGCTGTGAACTCTTCTGTCCTCTGCCTTCCCCATTTCCGATCTTTCTAATCTCAACAACTCTCTCCGTTTCTAGGACTTCAAACTTACTTTCCGCCAGACTAACACTCTTCGCACTAATCTCGTTCATACCTCTCCTCCCTCTATAGATGCTCCTGGTGTCTACTATATTTCTTGTTCCTCCTGTCCTCTTCAGAACTTTGGAGATACTGGTCGATCTCTTTCTGACAGACTGAGGGAGCACAAAAATAGTGTTAGGCTTGCCGACACTAGCAATGCTCTTTTCCGTCATGTCAGAGATCACAGTCATCCTGTTGACTGGTCTTCTGCTAAAACTGTCTTCCCTACTTCTAACTTTCACAGTCGCCGTCTGGTTGAATCCTCCCTAATACACAACTTTCCTTGTATGAATAATAGTCGTGGTTTCGTCTCTGTAGATGCCTTCTTCTCCCACTACATTGTAAAATGCTCCAAACTTCAGAACACCTGTGACTTAACCTGATTCTTCTTTCCCCTTCTCCCTATTCCTCTTTACTCTTTCTTCCTTTTCCTTTGGGTTTTCTTCAGCCTTGGGTACTTGTTTTCTTATTCATTATCCCCCCCCGTCTGTGTTCTTGCTTCTACTCTCTGTGGACCCCTAACTCCCTTGCAGTGCTCCTCTTTCTTAGTATATGACTGACTCTACTACTACTACTACTACTACCACCTCCACTAGTACCTCTCTTGCTCCCGCCATGTCTGCTGGCCTATATATACTCTCTCTTCTCCTTTCTGTTAGTGTGAATTTGTCAATGGTCCAAGTCGGACCGAAACGTCCTCGTAAGCTCCTCTCTTCTATATACGGGTTATTTGTGTATTGAAGGTATAAAGGTTAGGTGGTCGTACAACTATGAACTGGGAGAATAAACGAGTATTAATAATGTTTGACTTTTGTTTGGTGATTTTGTATATAGCATTGTATATGCGATAAACTATGGACATGTATACTCAGAGATGAAATTATTTCCTTTAATTCATATAACAGGACCATATTTATCAACTTGCCACGACCATAAACCACGACCATAATGTTTAACAAACATTAACCAACTTGTCACTCACATTTTTAGACATCAACTTGCCACTCACATTAACAGATTTATCAGTACATTTTAAGACGATCAAATTTTTCACACACACGTTTGTAAACAAATCGGTTTGTCACATAAATCTGAAAACTTTAACTTGTCACATGATCATAAATAAATCAACTTGTTATATACACATTTGCAGACGTAGGGTACCATTGAAAATGGTACCCAATAAAGCAAATAAGCTGTAATAAATCTCTTAAATTCTCTAAATTGAAGAACCCAGGTTTTCAGCTTCAGTGACCCACTCATCAACAACTCTATTTCCACACCAATACTCTCCTATATCTCCTATATTTGTGTGCTCTCCTATATCCTTTCTAAATCTAAACTTATCCTATTTGAATCCATTATTTCAAGTTTTTACTTTGAGGGTATCTTCAGAGCCTTATCATCCTTGTTTATGCCCATCTTCCACTTATACACTTCAGTCATGTCTCCTTTATTCTTCGTCTTACAAGAAAAAGTTGTTTAAGGGATTTCAATCTTTCTTCTTATGGAAGATTTCTTATGTAATGGATTAATTTTGTCGTTATTCTCTGAATGTAATGTAACCAGATTATATCCATTTCTGTAGTATGGAGAACAGAACCTGGCTACATGATCTAGGTGAGGCCTGGCTAACGATGTGTAGAACTGTAGAATGAACCCCCTTTCCTAGCATACTTGTCATTTCTGCAATAGAAGAGGTCCCAGTTGTCTACACATAGTACTGCAATGTCCTTACAGTGTTTGTCCAGCCAGCAATTAACACCAATTGCCCTGGACAATCATTCATTTCCAAATCCACTCCTCATCACGATGCTACATATTGCAGGGCGTCATCACTTCTTCCTAATTATCTTTATTCCTGACCTATCCCTGCTAAACAGGTTTTCACTCCTACGAACATCGAACAATGTTGTCTCCACCACCGAGACAGATAACAGGATTGCTCCCATTACCTCTCATTACCTCTCATTACCTCTCATTACCTCTCGTCTCTAGGATTACTCTTAACCATATTCACTTAAAGTCTTCCTGTTACTTTTGTTTCTATATATCATTTTATGATCCACTAATGTTTTGCGTTTTCATCATTCTTTAGAAGTAACTTTTTAATGTCGTAAAATCAATACATAATTTTAAGTTTTAAGTCCAGGAAGTAAATCGTTTAGCTACATTCCTGTTCATTCTAGAAACTTTTACGACTGCCATGAAAACTAAAACAAGGCTAAGCACGTTTCTTTACTCCAGTTACATAGTTAACGTCCCATTTCCTGTCACAGGAACAACAGGGTCAAAGATACAAGACCAAATATGGCGGCCGGACTTGACAGCGGCACACAACATCAACCCCAGAGGATCCATACCTCACTCTGACTTTCTCAGGATCACTCGTGATGGTCGAATGTCCTATAACCAGAGGTGAGGACCTTTGTCTGTATAATTATAAGTGAGCTGTGGGTAAGTTTTTCTTAATGCATTATGCATGAAAAAATCAGCTGAAGCAGATTCTTACTCACATTATAGATCTAGTACTGAAACTAAACGTATCTTATTAAAAACTGAAACTTTAATTCAAGATTTAGTGTCGTAAGTAAAGCTCCTAACAGTCTTTCCTGTTGGTCAGGTTGTTCTTCAACTCTATATATCCTTGGTTAGGCCTCATTTAGACTATGGTGCTCAGTTCTGGTCACCGTATTACAGAAGGGATATAAATGCTCTGGAAAACGTACAGAAGAGGATGACAAAGATGATTCCATGTATCAGAAATCTTCCCTATGAGGATAGACTGAGGGCCCTGAATCTGCACTCTCTCGAAAGGCGTAGAATTAGAGGGGATATGATCGAGGTGTATAAATGGAAAACAGGAATAAATAAAAGGGATGTAAATAGTTTGCTGAAAATTTCCAGCCAAGACAGGACTCGCAGCAATGGTTTCAAGTTGGAAAAATTCAGATTCAGGAAGGATATAGGAAAGCCCTGGTTTGGTAATAGAGTTGTGGCTGAGTGGAACAAACTCTCGAGTACAGTTATTGAGGCTAAAACGTTGTGTAGTTTTAAAAATAGGTTAGATAAATACATGAGTGGGCGTGGGTGGGTGTGAGTTGGACCTAACTAGCTTGTGCTGCTGGGTCTGGTGCAGTGCTAAATCCTTGAGTGGAGATGACCAGACTGGGTGGTTCATTGGGCTAATCGGGGGGGTCATTGGTCTAATCCGGGGGGACATGGACCTGCTCCGCATGGGTCAGTAGGCCTGTTGCAGTGTTCCTTCTTTCTTATGTTCATATATATATATATATATTATATATATATATATATATATATATATATATATATATATATATATATATATATATATATATATATATATATATATGCAAGGAATTCGAGAGAGCAGGCGAAATATACACAAACACTGATTTCTGGCTGAAGCAGACTCGAACCTACGAACTTTAGGACAAGGTACGCAGTACTTTACCAATCTACCCACACTGGACAATACCTTGGCGTGTAGCTTGCGCTACACGTTTGATCCAAGGCAGCCAGCTTTCAGGGAGAAGGCTTACAGCTTTTCATTTCATCCCCTGCATGCATCAGCCTTACTAGAGATTTGAACAATGCAAGGAATTCGCGAGAGCAGGCGAAATATACACACACACTGATCTCTGGCTGAAGGAGACTCGAACCTACGAACCTTAGGACAAGGTACGCAGTGCTTTACCAATCTACCCACACTGGACAATACCTTGGCGTGTAGCTTGCGCTACACGTTTGATCCAAGGCAGCCAGCTTTCAGGGAGAAGGCTTACAGCTTTTCAACTCATCCCCTACATGCATCAGAATTACTAGAGATTTGAACAATGCAAGGAATTCGCGAGAGCAGGCGAAATATACACAAACACTGATCTCTGGCTGAAGGAGACTCGTGTAGCTTGCGCTACACGCAAGCTACACGAGTCTCCTTCAGCCAGAGATCAGTGTTTGTGTATATTTCGCCTGCTCTCGCGAATTCCTTGCATTGTTCAAATCTCTAGTAATTCTGATGCATGTAGGGGATGAGTTGAAAAGCTGTAAGCCTTCTCCCTGAAAGCTGGCTGCCTTGGATCAAACGTGTAGCGCAAGCTACACGCCAAGGTATTGTCCAGTGTGGGTAGATTGGTAAAGCACTGCGTACTTTGTTCTAAAGTTCGTAGGTTCGAGTCTCCTTCAGCCAGAGATCAGTGTTTGTATGTATGTATGTATATATATATATATATATATATATATATATATATATATATATATATATATATATATATATATATATATATATGTGTGTGTGTGTGTGTGTGTGTGTGTGTGTGTGTGTGTGTGTGTGTGTGTGTGTGTGTGTGTGTGTCGTGCCGAACAGACAGAACTTGCGATCTTGGCTTAAATAGCAACGCTTATCGTGCCATATATGACAAGTGAAAATTTGTGTATGCAATAATTTCGCGAAAATCATTCTGAACCTAACGAAAAAAAATATATTTCACTGTGTTTGCTTAGTATTAAATTATTGTAAACAAATCTAAAATATATTTAGTTGGGTTAGGCTAAAATAAATTGTTCTTGTTATAGCAAGGTTAGATAAGTTTTCTAAGTTCCTTTTGGTGCAAAATTATAAATTTTTACATCAAAAATTAATGAAAAAAATATATCTTTAAACATATACGAGAAAATTTTAGAAAAGACTTAATTTTAAATGAGTTCTTGCTAATTGACCAGTTTTACCTATTCGGCACGACATATATATATATACACAATAAGATCACAGAAAACAGATGATATCACAATATTCAGATGAAAAATTAGATAAAAATAATACAACCGCTGTTATGGGTCTCAAAAGTATGAAAATTTCCAAAAAAATTTTTAACTTTGAAAAAAACAATGATTGAGGAAATTAATATAAGTAATGAGATGGTTTATAGTTCTGTGATAAAACAAAATATTCAAAATTGTTCTCAAAGATTCTTATGAAAATCTTATTAATAATAAATATATATATATATATATATATATATTATATATATATATATATATATATATATATTATATATATATATATATATATATATTATTAAAACAGACAAAATGAATGTAGTAGCAATTAAATAAGGAACTTATTACGCAGGTAAAGTGAATAATGTCTTAGAGATACTTATTCCAAACTTAGAAAGAATCACTTAGAGTCAGTAACATTAACAAAACGACAACTCAAAGGCAAAAAAGAACTAATTAAGAAAGTCATTACCATCCAATTCATGAACATCAAAATGGTATACAATACCGACAGGTTGGTAGGTAAGACACATAGGCAACAGTTAGACAACTTTATTCCGAAACGTTTCGCCTACACAGTAGGCTTCTTAAGTCGAATACAGAAAGTAGGCAGGAGCAGTAGAGATGTCGGCATTGTATACCATTTTGATGTTCATCTTGTCAGACACTGTAACACATGGCCTCTTGGTACAGAAAACACCTTGGATAACCCTTTCAAGTGAGAACTGTTGGATCTGAGAGGGACCTGACCTATCAGTGGCTACACTCTCACTACTACTACTACTACTCTGCACCTCTCCTTCCGACAGTATTTAAGTCTCCGCACTGTCGCTTGATCTTCAGATAGTTCCTGACTATGGAACTGAACTTCTCCAGGCTGAGGGACTGACAACCTCAAATTCTACGACTTCAAGGGTGATGGACTGATTACATCGTCTTCACATCTCTACTGTTCCTGCCTACTTTCTGTATTCGACTGAAGAAGCCTACTGTGTAGGCGAAACGTTTCGGAATAAAGTTGCCTAACTGTTCCCTATGTGTCTTACCTACCAACCATCCAATTCATCTTTGTCATATATGTTTAAATTATTAAAAACACACAAACCAGGTATTCCCACCAGACCAATAACCAGACCAATAACCAGACCAATAACCAGACCAATAACCAGACCAATAACCAGACCAATAACCAGACCAATAACCAGACCAATAACCAGACCAATAACCAGACCAATAACCAGACCAATAACCAGACCAATAACCAGACCAATAACCAGACCAATAACCAGACCAATAACCAGCTATATAGGTCAACTTTCCTCTAAATTATCTAGATGCCGGATAATTTCTAACTTTATTGTTAAAAATAATATTGATTTAGTTAATAAATTAAGCACTATGATTTAAATAATTACTATATGGTTAGTTTCGATAGTTACTTTTTAACAAAAGATCCAGTTCATAATTAGTTAGGCTTTTTATTATTATTATTATTATTATTATTATTATTATTATTATTATAATCGAGGGGGAAGCGCTAAACCTGTAGGATTATACAGCGCCTGGGGGGGGGGATGCGGAAGGCATTCAGGCTTAATTCGGGGAACTGGAGCACAGATCCAATTCCCTAAATCAAGAGCCCCTCACCAACATCAAGGAACCTTCCCTGAGGGGACATTATACGTTAAGCCATGTCCTGTTGGAACTGTTGTGACACGTAGGTGGATATTGAAAAGTAGAGATAACAAGCAATTTTAACCACGATATTCATTATCAGTGACCTAAAATTAGTAGAATATAATTTTAAATTATATTTTATGCAAATCAACATTATTCTGTAAGACACTGGGAAAACCAAGTCTCACACTTCACCCAGTTCGTACATCATAATTATGTTTCACCTGAGTACACGTGACTGATGTATAATGATTACACACCTGCCATTATAACACTTCTCTTTTATAATGATGGCACACCTGCCATCATAACACTCCTCTTTTATAATGATGACACACCTGCCATCATAACACTTCTCGTTTATAATGATTACACACCTGCCATTATAACACTTCTCTTGAATAATGATTACACACCTGCCATTATAACACTTCTCTTTTATAATGATTACACACCTGCCATTATAACACTTCTCGTTTATAATGATTACACACCTGCCATTATAACACTTCTCGTTTATAATGATTACACACCTGCCATTATAACACTTCTCGTTTATAATGATTACACACCTGCCATTATAACACTTCTCGTTTATAATGATTACACACCTGCCATTATAACACTTCTCTTGAATAATGATTACACACCTGCCATTATAACACTTCTCTTGAATAATGATTACACACCTGCCATTATAACACTTCTCTTTTATAATGATTACACACCTGCCATTATAACACTTCTCTTTTATAATGATTACACACCTGCCATTATAACACTTCTCTTTTATAATGATGACACACCTGCAATCATAACACTTTTTTTATTATAAATATGACACACCTGTCATCATAACACTTCTCGTTTATAATGATGACACACCTGCCATCATAACACTTCTCGTTTATAATGATGACACACCTGCCATCATAACACTCCTCGTTTATAATGATGACACACCTGCCATCATAACACTTCTCTGTTATAATGATGACACACCTGCCATCATAACACTTCTCTTTCAGTATATTCAGTCACCTTTTAAAATATTTTTTATGGTTTTTGTAATACTATATATATCTGAAAGCTAATTAATTCATTTCCGTGTTTACAAATCTTTTATGTAGACAAACTGAAAGTACTGGCAAATAATTTTGTCAACCAATCACCATCGTCGTTACAAACTGCGCTAATTCATTAATAAAAATTGTCTTTATTCCTCTGTTTACTGCGTCTGAGTTGCCTGACAGTATTTCAGTCCTGGTGAGAACGTACAGGCACTTATTTCTGCGACTGTACCTAGTGATTGGTATGGAGCATGCATAGTTCCTCTGTGTAAGGGCAAAGGGGACAAAAAAAGGTGTAAAAATTAGTGGGCAGTAAGCCTGTTGACTATACCTGGTGTCCATACACCAGGTATAGACATACTATTGAATAAAAAATTAAGAGTAAGACAAAGAGCAGGATCGTAGAAGGAAACTTTAGGAAGGGCAAGGATGTGAGGACCATGTGTTTACAGAACAAATATGGATTTGGTAAAGATATATAATAGCGGGAGTAGGGGAGCAGATGTTGCAGGTGTATGGAACAGGTGGTAGGTTACTGAAGGCAGTTAAGAGTTTTTACGAGGTTAGGCCTAGGATTGAGTATGTAAGAGAGAAGGAAATTACATACAGGTAAAAGTAGGCCTTAGACAGGGATGTGTGATGTCACCATGGTTGTTCAATATATTTATAGATAGGGTTGTAAGATAAGTGAATGCTCGGTGTTGGCTAAAGGTGTGGGATTAAGACAAAGAATCTAACACAAAGTGGGAGTTGTCACAGTTGCTCTTTGCTGATGACACTCTGCTTTTGAGAAATTCTGAAGAGAAGTTGCAGAAGTTGGTGGATGAGTTTGGTAGGGTATGTAAAAGAAGGAAATTAAAAGTGAACATAGGAAGAGCAAGGTGAAGAGGATAACAAAAAAATTAGGTAACGAAAGATTGGATATCAGACTGGAGGGAGAGAATATGGAGGAAGTGAATATATTGAATGTATTCAGATATTTGTGAGTGGACTTGTCAGGACTAATTTAATTATCCTGTCATGCTCGTAAAGACTGGTATTCCACACGGGAGAATGAAATTAGCCGTGTATCTTCCATAGGGACGTATGTTCTCACCTAAAGGGTTTATTAAGTATATAGTTATGCTGTTTGTGTTGCAGGAGACACTAATTACCAGTTTGTGTTGCAGGAGACACTAATTACCAGTTTGTGTTGCAGGGTACACTACACTATCCCGTGCATCATGGAACTTTACAGCTATCCTCTGGGTGTACACACCTGCACACTCAAGCTAAACAGCTGTGAGTACTTTATCAACTTCTTCTTTCACTTCTCAGTAATAAATTGATAGTGCTAGTTCTACTTCTTTCACTACTACTACTACAACTACCACCTCAATATTATTGTTACTAATATTTCTACTACTACTACTTCTGCTGAAACTACTAGTATTACTGCTACTACTACTATTACTAATGCAACTACTACTGCTAATACAGCTATTACTACTGCTACTACAACCACTACTACTACTACTGCTGCTGATGTTGCTGTTGCTTCCATTGCTGCTGTTGCTACAACTACTACTACTACTACCACTAATAATAATAATAATTAATAATAATAATAAAGAAATATGAAGATAATAGTGTAAGTATTTATGTAATTATAGGGAGGTATCACCTCTAGAACTGAACTGGGGAGCCTCATCCTCAGAGAAGAGAATAAACGTACTTTAAGGAAAACTCAAGATTCTCCCCGGAGCTGTTTGAATATTTCCCTCCCCTACCACCCCATATATTCTATATGAGCTTTATTTTTTAACAAAATACATTGACAAAAATACATTGAGAAGGACATCTCAAAGTCTACATCTCATCCAGCTCCCCGGCGTTGGGCAGTGTGCCCAGAATGCTGCATGTATTTTCTCTGTGGATAGCTATATATGGCTCCTGCCTCCATTACATCACTTCCCAGACTATTCCATTTCTGACTATGTGTGTTGGGTGCAGCAATAGCTACCTCCCACCATTCGCACCCCTTGGCAACAACGTTGGTCCAAACTCTGCTCGTGTAACAAACTCAGATGCAATTAAACCGTAATAAGTTATGGCCGACATCTGTCATCAGTGCCGAGTTGGGAACCACGTCTCCGCTCGCCGCCTTCGCATTGCCACACTCTCTTACTCATGGTATCTCATGGAGAGGCACCCTGTTCCTCTCTGTAGCAATTCAATGTTCCATTTCCGAATTTACCACATTCTGGTTAGACTGCCCTCTTCTATCAACGAGCACCGCAGAATTTACCTCCAACGTCGTCCTCGTTCTCCTACTCTCTCTTTAACCTTCCCTTCCTTGCCTGTGATACCCCCTTTAATCCTGACTCCGTCATTGACTCTTGACAGACGACTGATTTACTCCCACAAACTCTGATGATTAACTTTTCGCACTCCCCCAGGCCCTTGTCTGGTTCAGTCTCCTTGCTGCCCCCTTGGAGCCGGCCTGGTCGGACTCCATCACCACTGCCCCGCTGTTATCCGTAAACTTTGTGCTCATAGGGGCCATCTCTTCCCTTTTGCCACCATGATGCCCCTCGCTTCCTTCCTGCCCCCTGCACGCTAGTATAGTCCTTGTGCTTAGCGCTTCTTTTTTAATATGAAATAATACACACACAAGAGTGTCCTTTATTCCTCCTGGTCCTTTGCTTTATATGCTTCTTCCTTTTCTCCTGGCACACCTGGTTTGGCCTTTCTATACCTTGTTGAACGATGGGGCTCATCTTGGCCTTCTCGTTATTTCGGTTTCCCCTTGCCACAAAATCTCTTCTCACTTCCTTCATATTGTTGTCACATATTCCATCTCATCTCAATTACTGATGTTCCTGCTAATCTCTGTCCTCACTGAGCCTCGGCAGGGAATCAGCGAGAGCTTGTGTAGTCCCCTCTCTTTGTCGTTTGGCTCATTCAGCTGCCCTTCCTGCTTCCTCTCCACTTTGCTTTTAATATAATTCTTGAGAGTCTGCATAACCGATCGGATTGTAAACACTGGCCCGCGAGGGGTCTTTCATATGTGAGTCCTCAATATTTGCACTACTCAAGGTTGAATACAATATCCAATCTTGCTGTGGTTCGTCTTCTCCTCTCGACTCTCTGGTATGTCCCTTAAAAGTGTTGGTACATGAGATTTTCCAGTAACCACCTCCACATCTTGGCCCTTCAAGTTTTTCTGGACCCTCCCCCCTTGTGGCTCCAGGTTTTTCCCAGTCAATTTTCCTGTGACTGAAGTCACCCACAATCAGCACTTTTGGCCCGGGCGCATGAGCTCTCTCTGGTGACTTAGTCATGTGTGTGTGGAGTAGGTGAGGGGTAGGTGGGTAGGTGAGGGGAGGTGAGTGTGGAGGTGGGGGGAGGTGGAGGGGGAATGAGAAAACTCCGCCTGTGAAAGGAAACACGCGCGTGCGGAAAAAAAGGCGGAATTTTTCAGAAGTTCAGTAAATTAATAAAGCGAGTGAGCGCGAGTGCGATTACACTTCAATCTACAGAGAGTTTTTCCAAAACATTAATTTTTCAATTACATTCTAATGTAATTCTGATACAAGAAACATACATACAATTTCAGGCATACACCTTATCATACATATGAAACGAGGCCTAGAGAGAGTAGCGAGAGCGAGCATGACACGATCTAGACGAAATGGTAATTAACAAACATACATACATACATACATACATACATACATACATACATACATACATCATAAGTACATACGCAGACATACATAGAGCGAGCGAGAGAATATTCTCATAATACACTTACAGCCGCGAATATCAAATCAATACATACTATACACATACAATGATTGAGCATTCCGTCTAGCATTCTTTAGAGGATCTACTCTGCGCGTCAGGAGGTGTGGCTGCGATTCAGGATTAGATCACGTAAAATGATAAATTACCTTTTTAAACAAGTAACAACATCATTAGGCATCATTAATAATAATAATAATAATGAGAGAGCGAGGATGATAATTAATAAATATAATAATAAATAAAAAATAATAATAGTAAAAATAATAATAATTATATTTCTGACAAGTACATGTTACAGGGTAGACGACCAAGCTGACACATGACGTACTACTATATAAAAGCCCACTTAATATGCAGTTTTTTCTCGGCAAATAGATCAGTTTTTCCCAAGATGCACCCACTCCAGTCGACTGACAACACCCAGAACCCTTCTGTATTGTGGGTTGAACAATAGAGAACCGGTGTAAAGAAACAGCCCAATTTTCTTGTCCTCGCCGGAATCATCCTAGGCCCTCGCCATTTGAAGCGAAGCTTTAAGCCACCAGACCTCAGGCCCATCTCTCCATTGTCGAGAATTTTCTTTCTTTTTCAAACATCTTCTTCAATGACATAATTCAATGGGCACCGAGAAAAGCAAAAGTAGAGTGAAATCAACGACTCTGACTCTGTTAGAGCAACTGAGTAGTAGTTGAAGGGGGCACGTTTTTCCATGGAAATTAACGTCACTTTTCGGAAGATCGACTGTGAGAAGTATTTTTTTTCTTTTTCATCTGTACTCTTTGATAATTCTTATGTTCATCCAGAAGAATTCTATGTGCCATCAGACCGAACCTCAGATCTTTGAGATCGTTAGCTAGTCTATGTTGATTTTTTTTTGAGGCGAAGCAAAAAGAAGAGGGGGTCAAAAGTTTCCCTTGTTGGAGACCTCACGATCAACTTTTGTGTTTATGAAAGAATTTCTGGTCACTGTTGAGCAAGAGTATTTAAATGGGATAAAATGTAGGAAAATGTGATGGCATACTCTGATTAAATGTCCTTTTTACTGAACGAAAAATTTTAATTTGACGAGGGATTTATGGCACAACGAGTTTAATGATGAATACATGACTGCGGCTTCCAGCACATTCCTTGGTCTGCATGGCTCACAAGGTGGGTGTAGGGAAGTTTCTGCGGAGCAAGGAGAGGTGTGCGAGCGCGAGATGTCCTGATTCGTTATTTTTTTAATGCACAGAGGGATGCACCAAAAAATGATATGCGTGTGAAGTTTCGCAGAACGCCACCTGTCGCTATAGATAGTGGCAACAGTTGTGATCTCGGAAAGAAGTCGCTCTACAACACTCCCGACTGTTGATTGAGCATTTGTTTGATGTGAATGTGGCCTTGATAATCAGTGAAACACACTCCATAGATTCCCGGAGGAATAACACGGCAAACTTCTTCTATACATACTTCTGGGATCGTCGCGAGTACGATTGCTGTATACTCTGGTTTAGGTGTCGTGAGAACATTGTCGTTGTTATGAGCGTTGGGTTCGTCGTGCTTTTTTTTTTTTTACTTTGTAAGCTTTTTCGGTGGGGTTAATTTCTTGGCGACAATTGTTTCAATGACTATGATTATCTGATCTCATCTGCTGTATTCCCTTCCGATTTATTTTCTTTGATTTGTGAGGGGAATTAATTTGTTGCTCAGCTGATAATATTTCCAGAACTCGTCCCACCTGGTTGGAACGACGGGCAACTTACACACAGAGAGGGCATTACTGATCTTTCAAAACATCAGCAATTGTTCATCATGTTTGAAGTACTTACTGCCTTTAGGATGTCTAGCAGAGTCCTGACCGATGTTAATTTAATGATTCTCGAGTTTATTTGTGTGGTGAAATTTGAACAGTTTGCGGCTTGTTTCTGCCAAATGTGCGGAACGTTGTAAGCTCGTGAGGCCTGATCACACAGAAAGAGAATGAAACAAGGGCAGATGATTTACCCGGGCGTAGAAAAAAGTTAACGTTGGCTGAGGAATCTGCGGCCTGGGGTTTAAACGTTCGTTGTTTTCAGCTATATACACTCACACGGAGAGCACGTACGTTACAATCTATATCTCTTTAAAAAAGGAAAGATAAGGTGACCAGGCCGCACAGACTTGAGAGGTAATTTGAGAAAGAGAAGCGGACAGACCAGAAAGAGGACAGAAAAACAAAATTACAGAGTGAAACAGACGAAGTGGGGTGGGGGGGGGGTGGGGGGGGGGGTGTGGGGGGGGGGTGTGAGTTTTTGTGTGGGGTTTTGTGTGTATGGGGGATGTTTTGTGGGGTGGGTAGTTAGTATGATGTGAGTTGGTGTATGGTTTGTTTGGGTGGTTGGTGGTGGGTTGTGTGTGTTTTAGTGTGGTAGGGTTGTTTTGGGGTTTTTGTTTGGTTTGTTGTGAGTGTTTGTATGGGTGGGGGGGTAGATAATTGGGGGGGGATGGGGAGTGTATATAGGAAAGGAAAGGAA